CTTACAACTGTCTCTGGAAGTGAAAGCACCAGAAAATAAATTAAGTCATACGTAGCTGTCATCCGTACGCAAGGAAGTAAGCACAAGATGCCGAACACCCTTAGCAGGATGCAGCTCACCCTTCATGCGACTCGCCAAATACCTCACGGCGCTTCGCGCTTGGTGATGTGAGAGCCTGGTCCGGTGAGAACCCGGCGTGCTCCGTCCCGGCTTTGTAGGGATGCGAGGTCAATGGTCTAACGACTACGGCATGCACGACTATGAGTACACCCCCCCCCCCCCCTACCCGGGTCTTCTGACTCGAACCCGCGTGTGCGTGCTTGCGTGCGTGCGCGTGTGCATCCGCCGTGCCCTGCCCCCCCCCGGACACAAAGAGCCAAAACTCGCTTGGGACGACTGGAGAGAAAAGTGGCCGACCTCGAGAGCGGGGTGGGTGGAAGAAGGCCCACCGGCACCGGCAGCAGCAGCACGAGCTATGGCGGCGGCAGCACCAGCTACAGCGGCAGCAGCAGCAGCTACAGCAGCAACACGAATCGGTCGAACTATTCCTCGTCGTCGTCGTCGTCGTCGTCCTCCTCCTCCTCCCAGCGACGGGCAGGGAGCGGCGGCGGCGGATCCGGCGGCCGAACTGCCGCCTCTTCGGGCGGTAGCAGTGGCGGTTCGAGGAGGACAAGCGCGTCGTCGTCGCCGCCGCCTCCGCCGAAGGCGGCGGCACCTCGACGACGACGGCCAGGCGGCAGGAGGCGTACCGATGACCCGGACGTCGAGGCCGAGCTCGCCAGGATGAAGCGCGACATGGGGCTGAAATGATGGAGCACGTACTGTAGTAATGGGAAGCCGATGGCCCCTGGGCTAGTAACTACCGGTGGTCCGTGGTCATCGTGCTTCTCAACAGCAAGCAAGCGTGCGAGGAAGGGGTGATCGATCCCCCATCTGTGCTGTGCATAGCATATCACACGTGATGGTGAATTGTGCGTACGGAGAGAAGAGAAAGACCAAGAGAGAGAAGTGGTTGACTGGACGATGGTCACAAGTGCAGCAAGGAGGTGGTAATAGTTGGCAGTGGGCGCGCGGAATCCGTACGCACCCCATGTCACTTTTTCGTGTGGCTACTGATTGAGGGTTCGTGCCGCTGGTACCATGGATGGAAACCACCACTCGTGAATGAATGTTTGGTGATGATGACACCAGCAGTCATGGCGTTCAAAGGGCTTGGGCGGGAGGGGGGGGGTGCGAAACTTGTGCTGGTGAAATAGAATATCGAAACATCCAAAGTCAGTGTACAATGTAGTGGGGCCAGGTATTGGAGACGATGTAGTTATGTTCGCTGGGTGGTGGGAGACGAAGGTACAAGAATATCTCACTGATTTTCTCTCCTTCTTTGCCCCCACGAATTCTACGAATTCCCGTAGACAAGTGAAATCCGTAATTCGTCTAGATACCCCAGAAGACCATCAGGATGACTCCGCTATGGATCCATGTAGATATCTTTTCATGTTTTGCCCACCGCACGTGGCATGCAGCGATATCTCCCCCCGCTGTGGGGATATCATTTCCGAACCGAAGCCGTTTTTCGTATGTTTTATGTGCTTCGTACTGTACATAGCCACGAAAGGAAAAAACAACACAAACAACAAAAAAAGCAATCAATCCCACACACACACACATCACGGAGCCAGACACATGTTCCGGCAATCGAATGAATGCACCGAGAGCACAAGGAAGGGTGCTGGCCACTGCACCAATGTTTTTTTATACGCATGTATATGCCCGCCCAAGCTACACAGCGCTACAATCACTAGCTAGATGCTTCTAAATGATCATATACCGTCCGCGAGCGAGCAAGTACGAGGACAAAGGTGGTGGTTTCATGTGTGTAGGTAGTCTGTACTAAAATATCTATCGTAGTCGTATCGAAAACGTCCGCGATCTTTGCGGTAATTTACGGGTTGGTGGGCAGGCGGTGGATATACTCGAAAATACATGCATGCATTGAATTTGCAAGTCAGATAAAGCCCCGCAAAACAGACGAAAGAGCAGCTCTCCACACTATTTAGTTGGTACTCGAGATCATGGAGACAGCGAATGAAATGGACGGAGGGACCGGGGGGCTGACAAGTCCAACTCAGGTACACGCATATGTAGTCACAACACACCTTGTCCACTTTTGGTGTACTTTCAAGAGACTCTCTCCTCTTCGTTTTTTTTTTTCGGAATTTTTCTCACTATTTTTGTATTTTTGTCGTCGACAGTTTTACTGCTCCCACACCAGGCAACAACCATCGCAACACAGCTGGCTGCGTTTAGACCAGTAGCAACATAGATCCAACAAGCTGTCACAGCGGCAGGGAGGGGCCAAAGGAGTGCGGAGAGGGCCGGACCGAGAGTGCTGATCGGTGGTGTGGGGAAAGAAGCCGGTCGGCTGTCGGTGCTCGTTGGAGAGGAAAGAGTGCACGCTGCTTGCTGTGTTCAGACGGGGGGCGGTTGGGTTGGCTTGACATCACTGTTGCCCCTTTCGTCGTCCGCGCGATGCGGAGAGTGGCGATGCCCCTACGGCGCCAGCGAGAGGCTAAGCTTGGGGGTGGGGGGGCGGTGGCAGCGGCGGCGGCGGCGGCGGGTCCACCTCAAGCGTACCCCATGGACCTCAACACCGTGAAGGGAATCCTGAGAGAGTTCGATAGAGCGGCGTACGGAGAGGCCTTCCGCGGGGACCGGCTTGCCAAGATTGCTTTCCTTGGAAGAGGTATGAAATCGGAAATAGGGGTGGGTGGGTCCCTTATTTTCTATATATAAAAGAGTAGTATGCAGAAAGAGAAAAGTGTTGTGTGCGCCTGATTGAAGGCGGGGTAAAGAGCTAGAACACCGACACAGCGCAAAGACAACCCGAACACCGACCGGTTGGCTGCAGGTTGTGTCACCTACTGCCTGCTGCTTGCCTGGGCTAGCTTGTGGTGCTGCTGAGCGAGCAGGCTTGGTTTTTGAAACGGAAACAAATGTCGGGGTTCCAAGAGTCCAGGCGGAGAGAGCTGGCTGGACGCCGGGGGGGTGGAGAGGATAGACCCAATTTGCGAGACAAAAGGTCGAGACATAACCGAAAGGATCAATATGAAGCAACCCTGCTGCTTTCAGAGCAGAAAACGAAATGCAGCCGCAGCCGCAGCAGCAGCAGCAGCAGGAGACAAGCAGGCTGCACGATGAGCGAGAGAGGGTTGTCGTCAGCTGTTGAGGGCCATCGTCCCGACGCGAAAACCAACCCGTTGGGGGCCTAACTAACCACCCGGCCGAGTTGCTTGCTGTATCGCGTACAATGGTGGTGGTATGCGTGAGTATGCGATGCCACACCCGCATCAGATACGCACAAATCTCAAAAAAAAAAACATGGTCGGTCAACCACCCACACCACTACTGTACACCAGTGCAAGATGCAGCAGTTGTGTTCATGGATTGACAGAGAGATACTCCGAGTTTCCGGTTCTGCTGCTGATGCTGCTGTTGCGACGTTTCTTCCTCTCTGCCTGATCCTGCAGCAGTAGCGCATACCGCCGCCATGTATCGAGCAGCGGCCAGCGTACACCACCTCAGCAGCAGCAGTTTGGGCTGGCTCGCTTTTTTAGTTTTTCGGCATTTCTTGCCGGCGTGCTTTCTACTATTTTCAAGATACAACATATCCGATTGGTTTCCCGACTTTTCTCCGCCTTCTCTCCTCGTCAGTGATACGAAGAGTCACTTACTCCCACACCATCAACTGCTGCAATAGGTACATACACCGGTGTGTTTGCCAACCTCAGCGGGCACACTACTACACTGCTGTGCAGCGGGATCGTTGGTTTCTCCTCCCCCTTGTTGCTTGGGATAGTAGACCAGCAGCACAAGCAAATAAATATATAGTCTAAGCGTTGCTGCTGCTGCTGATGTTGATGAGTTGGACCCTGGAGGACAAATGATGAGCCGCAGTAACAGCAGCAGCAGCAGCAACAGGGTCGTCATCCAAAAAGCCACGCGGCGGCGGGCGGGCGGCATGACTATTTTCCGCTCGAGAAGAAAAAGGGAAAAAGGGTCGGTCGGAGAGCGAGAGCAGCAGTAGTGTAATAGGGCAACACCCCCCCTTGTTGTTTGTTGTATTCAGCTATTCAGCAGACATCATTGAGTCTGCCTGCAGCTGCATCAGATCAATTGAAGAGACGTTTTTTTTTGGGTGGAAAGCTGCCGGCAGGGGTGAATGTGTCTGTTGTAAAAAATGTGAGCTGAATTTTTTTCTTTGGTTTGTTTTTGGCCGTCTGGCCTGTTGGTTGCCAACTGCTCGTTCCTTTTCCGCTGATCCAGTCTCTCACGTCTTCGGATTATCCTTCACGCGTATGTGTAAAAGGGTTGTTGCAGCAATAGTGCATTTGTCCGAGAAATCTTGCATATTTGCCTGGAGTACCGTACCTGCCCCGCCGACCAAATCCGCGTGCAATGCCCGAAAGACCAATCAATGCGGCTAGCATACAACTCACATTCTAGTTTAAGCTTTTCGCAGTACATTTCGGTCCCCAAGTTTACTGCTGGTACCTTTTGGTTCTCTTGTTTACAATAGTTGGGGTCAAGGGTGTCTATGCGCAGTCGACGCTGCTGCTGCTGCTGATGCTGAAGGCAATGGCACAAAGTCGCTCAGGACGGCGACAAGGACGAAGAAATCGAGGCGCTGTTGTATCCTTGGGCAGCGTGTGGGTTTGTCTCGAAGGCCTTCAGCCCCCCCTTTATTTCCCTGCATGGCTTCCTGTAGAGCACTCATCACATACATACCTATGATGCTTGAGGGGTACACACACCAGCCCGCTATTTTACGAACAACGTAAGCAGTAGATACATACGACAGCAGATACACTGTGTGTGTTCCGATATTTCCATGCCTGCCTTCCCACGCTACATGCACCCCAGGCAGGGGCACCTATACATATGGTACGGTGAAAGGGGCGCGGTGCCGCCACCCCCAGTAAAGAGTATACCCGGTCGACCGGTCACGCACAGAAATTGTAAGTCTTTCTGTGTGTGTATTTATTTTTCCTTGAATCTTTGTTTCTATGCTATCTGCGCATGTTTTTGAGGAGAACACGTCCTTTTTTCACGTTCGGATCTAGAGGGTGGGGCACAGACACACCCGCACAGCACAGACACACCCGGTTACCGCAGATGTGTCGACAATGGATATACCCACATACAGCAGTACAGCAGCATTACCATTGGTGTACTACGTAGATATATCTACGAGTACGTTTTATCTGACCGGAATCTCGGCGATAATTTCGCGGCGGGCGGCTCTCGTTTTGCCCGCCGAAAAATCCGTCCCTTCTTTTCCCCGCTGAAAAAATATAGATGTTTGACTTTCCTTACCGCGAAGTACTTGTTTTTCACGGTGCAGGTTTGAAAATGCGATGCATTATCTACCAGGTATGTCCTATCTATGGAACTCCGAATATGTGATAAATGACCGCCGCACACCTGCCCGCGGATACGTTGTTTTTAAAATCCCCAAACCCTTTGCGCGCCCGCCGGGGGGCGGGGGGGGGGGGGGGGGGGGGACCCAA